TAGGGGCTTGGCCTTATAGGAAGCTTTTCCCGAACCCAGCATAATATAAACCCTATTTAATTCCTTATATTAAATAGGGGAACTTGTCGGCCAATACATTGGTTTCGCAGACCAAACGAATGTCATAACTTTCTTTAGTTTATTTGATCGAGCATCACTCTCAATTCTTGCGTTCATCCTTCGGGATAGATACATGATTTGAGATAAAGTGCTCTTTTATCTAAACTATGAAAATTATGGGGTCAGTTTGACTTCATCTTTTTCAAAACTAATTTTTTTAAAAAACGTCCTTCCGAAGCGGGCAACGGGATTTCAATTCCGATGACCAACAGCTTCTTACGGGCAAACCCCACACCAAAAATAGTGCCAACAGTTATTATCAAGTTTGATATCGAGCATTTAACAAGTTAATTGTTGAACGACAAATAAATTTGTTCATGAACATAAATGAACAAGTTTGACTATGTTCATGTTTGATTTGTTTAAGCTTCGAGTTTTTAAAAGTTGTTCAAGTTTGTTTATTTGCTAATTTGAAAGAATGTGATTGAGTCTTAATTGAGTTGAGTTCAAGTTGTCCGTCAAGTGCATTAGTTCATTTATAGTGCTAGTTGTATGGTTGGAGATGCTAGTCGTCATTAACATATAGTGGACAAAGTCATATGAAATCCACCAAGTATGATTAACATATTTGAAACTGTTAGTTGAATCTTTTGATTTGCGACCACAATCTATTATGAAAGAGATAAATGGGAATCCGCCATAATTTTGGACCTATTTGAGGTTGCTAATTGAAACCCCTCTTTGAAGATGATAGTTTATGATGAAAGAGGCCGAATCAAACTGAAGATGGTAGTTATATCTGAACAAACACTAAAATAAATCTAAATCTCTACAGATCCTAATACTTATGGTCGATGAAAATAGCCTCATCTAAAAACAGGGCGTCAACTGATATGCATTAATAAATTTCTATCATCCGACACAAATATCAAAATACGTCACTAATGTCGAGACAATCTTTTGAGCAAAAAATATTCAAACTCTTATAAAGAGTCATCCAAAGTCCAATTTTAGCAAACTTATAATCAAACTGACCGACACGACAAGACGTACCCAGTGGTATTAAATTTGGTACAATCCGAGTCAAACCAAGTTCATGTCAAGTCATTAAATCACTCTTAAATTTTTTTCGAGCATGTTTGTGAGGTCAATTGAATTTCGTAACTGATAGGGTTATAGTTGAATTGAGCGTCTCGACGAGACAAATCTAACGAGCTTATCAATTAAGAACACTCAATTCCAAAATCGTTAAGACGCTCAAATATCCATCAAACTTCATCTGATTGAAGGAAGCTTTATGAACCGTACAATCAAACTGGTTCATAATCCTGCATTAACTGTACTTAAAACTCAATAAATAGAGTCTCACCCCTCTCATGAGAGGAAAAGACAGCTTGAGGCCTGAGGAAGAGCTTAAAGTTTTGAGAAGAAACTAAAGTCCAACGTCATTTCACTGTCGACCACCAGTCGGTGCCTGTAACCAGCCACCACTTGCCTGCTGCCGTCGATCACCATTAGCCGCCGCCTACTCCTTGCGATGAAGCACCGTATAAAGCGACAATTAACATGGATAGCAGTGTATCATCCCAAACACATAAATGTCACCTCAAAAATGTTGCAACAATGCATCTTAAAGATGGTGTAATGAGACACCCCACATATGCTCATGCAACTCCCTACCTCGGCCTCCGAGACCTACAGACGTCGTCGTAGCGCACCACTACTGCCCATGTGCCAACAACAACTTATGTGATCCCCAGCTCCCACAACTTCCAACTCTCGACCCCACAGTCTATGGACGTCACTACTACTCACCACTACGACCTACGTGGTCATCAACTCGTGCAGCTCCCGACTCTGGCCCCTGCGACTTACAGACGTCATTACTACTCACCACTTTGGTCTATGTGATAAACTACGACCTATGTGTTTCATGGTTCGTGTAGCTCCCAACTTCGGCCCCCGCGACCTACGAACATCATAAATATTTGCCGCTATGGTCTACATGACTAATTACAATGTATGCGGTGCACAAATCCAGCAACTCCTGACTCTGGTCGCCACCGTCTATGGATGTCACCACTATTCGCCACTACGGTCTACGCAACAAACTATGACTTACGTGGTCCACATCTCCTGCAACAGTTTACTATAGCTCATATGAGCAATCAACGCTTATGGAGCATCCATCTACAACACTCACAACAGACTTCTGCCTCCACAACAATAGACAATGGCCCTAGCAACATGCCGTTGCCAAGAACTACAATCAAATTATGATTATATAACTTTATAATTTCATCTTCCCCAATTGAGGAGAAAAAATTGACCAGTATACTCATCATTCATAGTATATTATTTCAATTAAGTCAGCGTTGTGGTTTTTCCCTTTTTCAAGGGTTTTCCATGTAAAGAATTGATGTGTCTTCTCATGTTTCAATTCTTTTATCTGCTTGTGTGTTAAATTCTCATACAACGTTAAGATAATAATCAATTATTTTACCACTGCAAATTTTCTAACACGCATCAACGATAATCATTTTTTCCCGACAACCACTTTTTTCTAGTTGAACCAACAATCATAATATTGCAACCTTTAAGCATTAATTAAAAATCAATTATTGATTTCATAAAGACTTTAAACCAACTTTGTTGGCTTCAACCCAACTCGCTCATTGGGCCTATGAACTATGAGCTCAAATTTGATCTAAAATTTAAGCTTATATATTATACGAGTTTGAGCTGGAGCTTGAGCTAGTTGAACTCGAGTTCAAGCTTGAGCTAGTTTGGCTCGAGGGCATGCAAGTTGAGTTGGCTAAATATTTAAAACTATAAATATTTTCTTAATAGCATTCCCATCTCCTTCGTTGCAAGTCACATGAAACCTCTTCGTCTTGTTTAAATGACATCACCCCCCTAGCCCGATCATTATTTTCTTTTGTGATTTCTCATGCCGTCTCACTAGTCTCGTAGGATTCCTTTTCCTGCACTCTCCCATATCAACATATTTTTGCTCATCAATCTCTTCTCCCAACAAACTCCCCAGAATTTCTCATGCCATCCTATTTGCTTCATTGACATTTTTCTAGTGCCTATTTTGTTGAGCTCTCACGAGGCCTCTTGGTGTCTCGTATGCTCATCAATATCTTCTTTGCAATTTTCTCTCCCACCGAGCTCGAGCTTAAGTTTGAGAATAAATAGACAACTAGAGCTCGAGCTCAAGCTCAAATTCGAGTCGTTACCAATGAGCGGAGCTTGCATTCACCCGCACTCGAGCTCAAACTCGACTTGTTTATATATCTAATTTGACCGAATTTATCTTATAAATATTTTTACTTGACTTGACGCAACCTAAAATGTATTTAATAGTTTCGATTGAATTGAGCTAACCCTAACCATCAAAGCAACTACGAATTTATGGTCTAAGCCCGTAGATTAGACAGTGGAGGGGTATTAATGTGAAAATTAGGTTTTGACTTCCATTAATTATTTAATAATATATACGAACCACGATTTAATAAACAACAGATTTACACCGTACTTTGGAATATATCGTCATAACCGACAAATGGCTTTAAAAACTTTCACCCTTCCATCAGCAAATATTTACAGAAAAAATTCCTCGTTTTTTTCGTAATTAAGTCTGTACCGAATGGCTCTTTGACAAAACCAAAAGTACATTGCATTCCTCGAAGTCGACGGTCTACCAATCCTAGCCCTCACCGGCGATTAATTTAACGCTTCCAGAACGAGGAGGTTTCCCAGTCAAGTGTTTCGCCGTCTTCTTTCTGAAGGCCGAGAAAGACGAGAGAGCGATTGCGATCAGATCTCTCCAACGGAGATGGCGATTTCTGGTTTTGGCCGCGGAGTAGCGGTGTATTTCATTCTACAGCTAGTGGTGGCGGCGGTAATGATTTCTCCTGCGACGGCGGAGATCCGCGAGACGAAGGTGATATCCGATGCCAGAACGATCATTCCCTTCGATGAGTTCGGATTCACTCACACCGGTTTCCTCGAGCTCAATGTCTCCGGTATCTCCCTTTCCGATACCGGCGCCGGTCTCGATCTCTCTCAATTAGGGTTCTTTCTCAGCACTCTCGACGCCTGGATTCATGTTCTGCAGCAGATTCAGGAACTGGATGTCACCTGTGCTCTTCAATCGGATCTTCTCGAGGTTGTTTACACCTTTGACCGGCTCCAAGCCGCCTCCTCGAACGGTCGCGCGACCAGCTTTAGCTCCCTCTTTAACGTAACGAAACCGGGGCAATACACCCTTCTCTTCGCCAACTGCCTCCCCCAGATTCGCGTCTCAATGTCCGTACACTCTGCCATGTACAACGTCGAGCCTCGTTCCGGCCGCAGGGTCTACCTATCGGCCGGGTCAGCCGTCCTTCCCTTCGTTTACTTTATTTTCTTTCTCGCATACTGTGGTCTTGCGGCACTTTGGATCTCTGTTTTGGTTCGCAAGCGGCTGACCGCTTACCGGATCCACTACTTCATGCTCGCTGTTGTCATCCTTAAGGCGCTTAATCTTGTCTGCGAGGCTGAAGACAAATCGTATATTGAGCGAACTGGCAGTGCCCATGGATGGGATGTTCTCTTCTATATATTTAGCTTCTTGAAGGGGATATCTCTTTTCACTCTTATCGTTTTGATTGGAACTGGTTGGTCCTTCCTCAAACCATATCTGCATGGCAAGGAGAAGAAGGTTCTCATGATAGTAATACCTCTCCAGGTCGTTGCTAACATAGCTCAGGTGGTGCTAGATGAATCTGGACCTTATGCCCGAAATTGGGTTACGTGGAGACAAGTTTTCCTTCTTGTTGACGTCATTTGCTGCTGCGCAATTCTCTTCCCTATTGTCTGGTCCATTAAGAATCTAAGGGAGGCTGCAAGAACAGATGGAAAAGCTGCTATTAACCTGATGAAGCTTACACTTTTCCGACAATACTATGTTGTAGTCATCTGCTACATCTACTTTACCCGGGTTGCGGTGTATGTACTGGCTACAATTACATCTTATCGATATCTTTGGACTACTGTGGTTGCAGGGGAGCTGGCCACCATTGCTTTCTATATATTTACTGGATACAAGTTCAGGCCTGAGGTCCACAATCCATACTTTGTGATTGATGATGAAGAGGAGGAGGCAGCTTCTCAGGCTTTCAAGCTTGAGGACGAATTTGAATTGTGATTTTAGGAATAAACGGTGATTAGGAATTGAAATTCTTTTTTTTTCACAGGATTTATGATCGTGTACAATTACACTCCAATGGGAAGCCGCAGCATCATGTAGTCTTTATATTGTTTTGATTTTCTTACCCCTCTTTCTCTACTTCATAGAAGACTCTTTTTTAAATTCTCCCATGGAACTTATATTTGGTCTTGTATATCCTGTATTAATGCTTTCTTCATGATGCATTTTGAGCTTTACTGTCTATACTGGTCTCTGATTGATTTAAGTTAGAAATACTATATTTTCTGTCTGTATTAACATTTGCTCATGCTGGTTGTGATATCTCTCTACTAGTAATGATCTACTTCTCTTCTTGTGATATAGTTACTGTGTTTTTTATCCCTTCTCCACTGGATATGTTTGCTTCACTTTAGCAATATTATATTTTTTGCCACTGGTTGTGCAATTCTTTTTAGAGAGAGAGAGAGAGAGTGAGAGAGATAATAGCTTAAAATTGCTTGAATTGAAGGTTTTTCTGTGACAGCCTTTCCTTTGATTTCCTTGCTATTTTCTGCAAAGATAGAGAAAATAAACATCGTTGTTTAAAGGCT